AAAATATATATTTTATTGATTATGCCATTACAGTTCTATTCCCCCCTTCATTCCCCTCCACCCTGCACACCTCTCCATCACCATCCCCCCTTTAGTTTATGACCACATGTCTCAAGTTCTTTAGATTCTATATTTCCCATACTATTCTTGCCTTCCCCCATCTATTTTCTACCTACTGTCTATGCTACTTATTTTCTGTACCTTCTTCCCCCTTCTCCTTCTCCCACTCCCCTGTTGCTAACCCTCCATGTGATCTTCATTTCTATGGTTCTGCTCCTGATCTAGCTGTCCTCTTAGTTTGTTTTTTGTTTTAGGTGTGGTTCTTAGTAACTCTGAGTTTGCTGTCTTGCTGGCATAACTTCCATTGTTTTGAGGGGAGGGAAGATCAGAAAGCAGCAGAAAATAATCACTACAGTTTGGGGGTCAAAACAACCTTCTACTCTTCTACACCCCACCCAAGGTACCGAATAACCTCACCACCCCCATTCTACTCACAAAGAGTTTGAGATTCTTAGTGTTAAAAAACTGGTTTTAAGATTTCATATAGATTTAAACCAAAACCAATCCAAAGCCAACCACCCCCCAATTCATCTAAAAGTTTTAACAAAAAAAAAAGTGGTTTACCGTTAACCTGACACAAACAACTCACTGTTTGAATGGATTTGCTCTGATTTGATGACCACCAGGAATTTCCAAACTGGTGATCCAATCATGCCAATCTAATCATGCCAATCCTTGATTAAAATTCAACATTGATTCAGTGATTCAAACAAAAACTTCCAGACCCGCTCCCCTCCTCCATTATAGCTTTTCAGATTTTATAACTTCTAATTCGCAGGAACAAAAACCAAGGTCCATGTAGAGTCCTACTCTGTCTAAAACAGCCTTCTCCCAACCCTGGAGGGGGAAGGAAATGTAGAGTGGTGTCTGTGTGCTTTTTCCTGGTTTCTATTGTTTTTATTTTTTAAAAACTATTTTTTAAATGTATTGATTTTACAGAGATGGAGGAAGGGATAGAGAAATCAGTTTGTTGTTCCGCTTATTTATGCATTCATTGGTTCATTCCTGAAGGCACCCTGACTGGAGATTGAATCTGAAACTCTGCCATATCGGCCAGACTTTCTAACCGACTGAGTACTCAGCCAGGGCATAAAAAAACTATTTTAATTTTTTTCTCTATAGTTTTTAGAAAAGGTTAAGTTGACTAATATCAAACTAGTTAGTCTATTTTGAACAACTGTTTAATGTACTGATTTTAAGATACTAAAATAGTTTTAAATGTTTTTAAAATGACTAGTTCTTGCGTATGAATAGTTACTATTCACTTGTTCAATATCTTGTTTTGCTAAATTGGTATGAGATCATTGTTTTACTCTCCTAGTGTTTGGCCTCTGGTTTGCTATGTGTCTCCTCAGAAATACGTTCTTCTCACACATTGTTATTTTATTAAAATTTTACTTTAAAATGTTTATTTTTAGAGAGAGGGGAAAGAAAGGACGTCCTAATTTGTGTTTTATTTTTCAATTTTATTTATTTATTTTAGAGAGAGAGGAAGGGAGGGAGAAAGAGAGAGAGAAATATCGATGTGAGAAAGAAATATCAATTGGTTGCCTCTGGTACATGACTCAGCCAGAGATGGAACTGTCACCCCAGGCATTTGCCCTGAGCGGGAATCAAACGGACCTTTCCCTTTGCTAGACAATGCCCAACCCCACTGATCACAATACAACAGACAGATGATGTATTGTAGAATCGTATTCCTGAATCCTATGTAATTTTATTAACCAATGTCACCCCAATAAATGCAATAAAAAATAAATTTAAAAAATAAATAATTTTAAAAAATCATTTACAACTAACAAAAAATAGGTGATCCCAAAATGGTTAGAACTTCTAGATCTCTGTTTCTTTGTTATGTTTGTCTATGTCTCTATATATCTTGATGCCTTCAAACACTTCAGATATATGATAAATACCATAATTCACTAGACTAGACCAAGGCAATGAGTGTTGGGTCCAGTGGAGGGTTATTTTTTTCTTCTCCTGAAGTTTCAGCGGGAAATTTAATCAATGATGATAGTTCAAAAAAAGTGGGCGGTCCCATGGCCTTTGACCAATCCCAGGGCTGACAGGGGACGGGGGGGCGGGGCCTGGAGCTTCTATATAAACGGAGACCTTTCGCCTTCAGGGACAGTCGGATCATGCTCCAGACTCAGGGTGACTGAGGCACCGGAGACGCCGAGAAGACGCCGGGGAGGTAAGGCACCGCTGGGGATGTCTGAGGGCGTCTGGAGACTAGGATGGATGGAGGCGGGCTTCGGAAAGATTTGGGTGTATGTTCATGGTGCATTATTTCTGTGATCTCGCGAAAACAAGGGGTCTCCCTTGTTCCCTGCTCGCTCTGATTTCTTGTATAACTCCTGGTTTAACATGCATGATGCGGTTTACGTGTTTACTTTAGTACCTGATTTTATTTTATTTCATTTCTTTTTTTGCAGTGGAGAGGCTGTATAGTTCTTTCTTTTTAAGTTTATTTATCGATTACAGTTGATATAGAATATTAAAGTGTTGTAGTTTCAGGCGTACAGCATGGTGATTAGACCTTTATATAATTTAAGAAGTGATCCCCTGAATAAGTCCTAGTACCCACCTGGCACCATCCATAGTGATTACAATACTGTTGACTATATTCCCTGTGTGGTACTTTGCATCTCTGGGAGTGTTCTGTAACTACCAATTAGTACTCTTTAATCCCTTCACCTCTTTCACCCAGTCCCCGTCCTCCAACCCCTCTCCTCTCTGGCGACCGTCAGTCTGTTCTCTGTGTCTGTGGGTTTGTTTCTATTTTGTTCTTTAGATCCCACTTGTGAGTGAGACCATATGGTGTTGGTTTTTCTCTGACTTGTTTCACTCAGCACAATGCCTTCCAGGTCTATCCAAGTTGTTACCAATGGCAAGATTTCACTCGGTGGCTGAGTCATATTCCATTCAACGGAAGCACCACTTTTTTATCCAGTCGTTTATGGATGGGCTCTTCAGTTGCTTCCATATCTTGGCTCTGATTTTACTGTTTTCTGTGATTGTGTTTTTTTATAATGTGAAGGGAACCTGGAGGGATTAGAAATGACCCGTTGAATTACTGGTGTCGAACAACCTGAAACCCCTTAATTCCTGGGGCTTCAGACTGTTTCTCCCACCCCAAAGTTTGTGCAAGGATGTGTTCACCTTCCAGGCAAGAAACTCCAGGAAAGTTCACCTCCCCCACCTGTCCTCGGGTCTCATCTTTCTGACTCTCAGTGACCTTGTCCAGACCCTCAGAGGGACCCCCTATCTCTGGCTGTCATACTTGGAATCAAATGCATCTCTGGAGAAAACAGAAATTGGCTTTTTGACTTCAGGAACTACGTTCAGGACCCATGTATAACTTCCTTTTAAACGTCTTACTTCCAGGAAATTCCCAAGGTCATTGGACTTTAGTCCGAGTTCTGAGATGAGATTAAGTCTAGGACTGAGTTCCGTTAATCCATTAATCCTATTGGAAGGTTTAATGGTAGGGGATTGGGAGTGGGTGAGCTGGAACCCAAGGTCCATTTCTGATACCAGGTTACCTTTTATGGCAGTGAAAATGAAGTTGGCACAACAGTAGGAATGCATTTAGTGGCCCCAAACCATATGCTTTAAAAAATTAAAATGGTGACTTTTTTTTCTCGTGCATTTTACCACAATACCAAAGTATCTGTAGGAGCCTAATTCTCATAGGATTTGGGTGTGTGAGTTCTCCCTTCCCTGGAACAAAGAAGGAAATGCTAGGGGGCAACCTGGGGTTGATATTTTCAATGTTTACCCTGGCCAGGTGGCTCTCGGTTGGTTGGAGTGTCATCACATGCACCAGAAGGTTGCTGGTTCGATTCCCAGTGGGAGCGCAAACGGGAGGTAATCGATGTTTCTCTGTCACATTGGTGTTTGTGTCTCTCTCTCCAATCAATAAACACCCTCTGATGAGGATTTTAAAAATAAATCTTTCCCTTGTTACTACCCCACAGGGAATTCCCTGGTTGTAAATATGTTTCTGTATCTTTCTACAGAATCATGGCTGATACAGTGATTAAAAGCTACTAGTCTATTCTCTGTTCAGGGATGTGAAACTCATTTTCACCGGGGGCGGGGGGGGAGGGCACATCAGCCTCCAGGTTGCCTTCAAAGGGCCGAAATAAGTTTGGGACTGTATAAATATAACGACTCCTTAACTGTTCAGAAGTTGAAATTACATTCGGCCCTTGCAACTGCGAGGCTGGTGTGGCCCCTGGCGAAAATGAGTTGGACACCCCTGCTGTATCGTATCTTGATGAAAAGCTATATAAGCTGATGTTGTTATTAAAATAGATTTGGGAAGCCTCACACGTCATGACCATATTTAATTTACAGTATAGGACAATATTGTCCCCACTCACAGATGAGAGTACTGACCCCCCGCCAACCTGTGTACATTTAGGAGTCAGAATCTAGGGGGGGGGGCCCATTCAGATGTGGAGCATCTATGATCAAAGGCGCACATCAGAGAATAACAGTAATGGGTTAACCTCCAGGGCCTTGAGTACGGGACCAGTGAGTGGTGTCTCGTATTGTCAGGAGCGTTTTTGAGGGGAGGGAAGAGTGGAGTAATAGGTTAAACTCACTTTATTCTCCTTTCCACCACCCTGCCCAACTTCTGGATTTATTACAGAGTAAACCCCTTCTTTAGGTCTCCATTCATTGCTGACTTCAGGAAGAGTTTGCTCAAGTTTCATTGAAAAATTTTTCCGGTGAATATGGCTGCAAACCAGATATTCCTGTGCAGTCCTGGGGAACCCCAAGAAAGCCAGGGATCGCAGCTGCCACCGTGCAGTCCTGGGGAACCCCAAGAAAGCCAGGGATCGCAGCTGCCACCGTGCAGTCCTGGGGAACCCCAAGAAAGCCAGGGATCACAGCTGCCACCGTGTGGTCCTGGAGAACCCCAGGAAAGCCAGGGATCACAGCTGCCACTGTGTGGTCCTGGAGAACCCCAGGAAAGCCAGGGATCACAGCTGCCACCGTGCGGTCCTGGGGAACCCCAAGAAAGCCAGGGATCACAGCTGCCACCGTGTGGTCCTGGAGAACCCCAGGAAAGCCAGGGATCACAGCTGCCACCGTGCGGTCCTGGGGAACCCCAAGAAAGCCAGGGATCACAGCTGCCACCGTGCGCAGAGTCTCCGGGAACCCTTCCCGACAGGCAAGGCTGGGACTCGGAGATGTGGCACGTAGTCTTTAGAGCCTTCAACAGCTCGGAGGACTCAGACCCGGTCCAGGATCTTCGGAAACTCTCTGAGCTCTGCCGTCTGTGGCTGAGGCCGGACCTGCACACCACAGAACAGATTCTGGACAAGCTGGTGTTGGAGCAGTTCCTGATCTCCATGCCCCTGGAGCTCCAGGTCTTGGTCAAGGATCACAATGTGCAGAGTTGCAAAGACCTGGAGGGTATCCTGAGACGGAAGGAAAAACCTAAGACATGCGTGAGTAGGAATCTCAGGGTTGGCGTGGGGAAGGGAGGCCAGGCCTGGGGGCCGGACTAGAAAGGGCAGGTGGGATTGTTTCTATGTCTTTGGTTCTCCGCTGGGGACTCTTGGAGATTTCTGGGCACATTTTGAGCTGTCACGGTAGGGAGCGGAGAGAGGAGGGTAGAAGCCAGCGGTGCCGCTCACATTCTGTACTGCACAGGCCAGAACAATGCAGCCTCAAATGTCGACTGTGCCAAGGTTCAGAAACCCTAGTCTATGCCCATGCAAAGGGTGAGTGTCGGGTTGGATGCCTACAAAGAATAAGATGCAACTCGTTCTTATCTTGTTTGGTGTTCTCCCCACAGACTGTAGTCAGCATGGAAGGACAGAAGTTTCTTCTGCAGAATTCGCATGAAGTGGAAGTCGGTGACGAGCACCCTGTGATGGACTTGCCCGTGAACTCCCAGTCCTTCGTGTGTGAGGTGGAGGTACATGCCGAGAACAGCTGGGAGGTCAGCCAGGAGCCAGAGGATTGGCCAGAAATCCAGGACATGTCAAGGGAGCAGGTGAGTGTGTGATTCCTTGACCTCCGGGGACAGGTGGGAGAAGGAACAAGAGGGTGAAGCAGTGGGTGGAGTAACTGGGACATTCAGCCCAGGACAGAACAAGGACCCGTTAAATGCATCCCAAGAATGCATTAAATTCCTAGACATGTCTGAACTAATGTAAATAAAGCCTCACCAACCTTTCCCCCTCCCCCACAGACAGGCCAGTGAACTCAAAGCTAATTTTCTTCAGAATTAAGAGTAAAAACTGTAAGATATAGCCATGACTGGCGTAGCTCAGTGGGTTGGGCACTGTCCTACACACTAAAGGGCTCAATTTCCAGTAGGACATATGCCTGGGTCACTGACCGGGTCCCTGGTTGGGGGCAAATAAGAGGCAACTGATCACTGTGTCTCTTGCACATTTATATTTGAAAAGAAAAGGGGGGGGGAACCCTGTTAGTATAGACTTGATTGAAATGTCTGGTGGGTACAGATGAACAATGGGAAGGCAGGTGATGGTTACTGGGGGGCGATGGAGTGGCCCTCCAAGAAAGTCTGGGCAGAGCCACAGAACTGCCCTGTTAGGACCGCTGGAGTCTCAGATCGGGGAGCTGGGTAGGTTGGGGGAACAGGAGATGGAGCTTTCTGCACCTGAATGTAGACACGTTCATAATCATTCTTGGCTGTCAGGGACAGACGGCTCTCCTGCCAGAGACCATCCCTGAGGAGGGTGACCTGGAGGGTGTGAGACCCCCGCAGACATCGGAGAAGGACACAGTGGAGGATCATGAAGCCATGACATTGCTGATACCTCCAGAGCCTCAGCTTCCAACGGGTCCTGGTGAGTATGGACATTGGGACTTCGGTGGAGTCAGTGACCTGGCTGGGCAGGAAAGTTCTCAACCACAACTGGCACTGGTTCAAATGTATTTGCCACTTTTGAATGTGCTCTCGGTTAAATGTTCTATGTGGTTGAATCCTTTCTTCCAGGAGTTTCCATGGGGATGGAGATGGAGGAGGACCCTTTAGAAGGACCCAGCACTTTTTTGCGTGAAAACTTGCGTGCCCGTGCAAATTCCACCCAGGATTTGGAGACAGACGTTTTGCCTCAGCGTCAGAAGAGAGAAGATCCTCCGGGTGCAAGAGGTCCCCTCAGAAGAAAACGCCCCAACACCTCCACCCACCAAGATGTGCGGAAAGAAGGAGCCGTGGGGTCGGATGAAGGACAATTCTCCAGACAACTCAGGTCCCATTCAGTTCACACCCCAAGCCAGCGTCAGAAGAGAAGCCACCAAGCCACCGTCAGAAAAGAAGCCAGACGACCGAAATCGTGTGAATGTTCAGACTGTAAAAAAACCTTTCAATATAAATCCCAATTAGACATTCACAGAAGAATACACACTGGAGAGAGACCTTTCAAATGCAATGTTTGCCACAGAAAGTTCATTCAGCTGTCGGATCTGCGGGTTCACCTGCGAATCCACACCGGCGAGAGGCCACACAGATGCAAGATCTGCGGGAAGTCCTTCGCCCACGAATCCACGCTGCGCGGTCACCAGAAGGTCCACACCAAGGAGAAGCCCTATTCCTGCCACGTCTGTCAAAAACCTTTTAGCCATAAGGGTAACTTGAATGTCCACCTCCGCACCCACACGGGCCTCAGGCCCTACCTCTGCGCAGAGTGTGACCACACCTTCCGTCAACTCAGCACTTTGAAGCGTCACCAGAAGACGCATGCGAACAGGACTTCCCAGGGGTCCCAACTCTCTTCTGCCTGAGAAGGAAGTGAATTTTGTCACCTGTGATGGGTGGCAGGTTAAACTCCATGGGGCTTCTACACGTTGGTATTAAAATCCTTGGCTTAAATACAAATCATCTTTGTTGGTCTCTGTTTTTCGCTTCCTTATAATCTACCACTTTCTTCTTCCTCATAGGATGTTTTTGGTTGTTTATGATACTGTTCTTCTTCCAATGAAATGGGAGTCTTGGTCGTTGTTTCAATAAATATTCCATCATTCAACCATAATCTCTTATTTGGTCCTCTCGTTGGTATTCTTTATTTCGTTGTAGAAGGGGGTGGTCCCCGCAGGGAGGCCACAGTTACTACAGAACACCCAGTCAGGCAGCCGTTTATGCTTCTCAGTGCTGTTCCCCACACCTGTCCCCACACCTTTGAAGGACAGCGTGAGGGTTTAAAAGGAGGCAGAGCGGGGCCATGGGTAGCAAACAATCCAACCACTCCCGCCTCTAGCTGTAGCCCCCAAACTGCTGCATCCACGCAGTTTAATTTCCTTGCTCAAAATTAAAACCTGCCGAAGCAGAAACTCTGGGCGTGAGTCCCACATGCTGGTTCAACCAGCCCTCCAGGTGGTTGTAACACAGGTGGATCCCTGAACTGCGCAGCCCTTCCTCCCTGGTTCTCAGGCCTGGAGTCACCTGGTGTGAGTTTTGCTTCATTTTAGTTTTATTTTGAAATCACTGGACCCTCACCGGAGTTGCAACAAAAGCTCAAGGAAGTCTCCAGCTGCACTGGGTGAGCGGATTTAAACATTTTAAGGGGACAGGGTGGCTGGGCTTGTATTTCTTCCCATCCCATTGCCTCTGCTGGCGCTCTTTTCGGAGAGTCCACGGTGGTTCTGCTCTCGACAAAGCTCACGGTCATTTCTCAAGCCAGCAGCTCTCACTGAAACTCTTGCAGCACTGATGAACTTGACCTCAGCCACGAACTAGCCTGACCTTCCCCTTATCACTGGTTTCTCTCCTGCCTCCTCCCTGCCTCACACCCTCCTTTTTCCCCACTCCCCCCCCCCCCAGGTTTATAAATACCAACACAGGCTTTTTGTGGGTAAATTGCCTCGGATTGTTAGAATGAAAAATTTAAACATTTATTGACGTGTACATGTTCACTATGGAGTAGTGATAAAATACAGAGAAAATGAAAGAAGACATCTTAGAAGTGTTCTTTCAAAATACAGAGTTTTTAAAAAATGTAAGTGGTTTTAAAAAATACTTTCTAGGAATTTCAAAAAAAAATTCCTGTTAATACTCAGAGGTATTCATTGTTCACGTGTCCACAAGAAACGAAGTGTTTGGGGCATTGTTACATTTGGGAGGACTGGGGCTTAAAATGTTAAATGTTGCAAGGTTAGCAGCCGCGGAAAATTATCTTGAGTTACGTTAAAGGAAAAACATTTCTGACAGGGCAAGGTTCAAGGTCTGAGAAGTGACCGAGAACTGGAAAAATCAGGGCTGCGGCTTTTCGTTGTGGATTCAGGTTTTTTGCAGAACAAGGTGGCGACGACTAAGCTGGTGCTCCCAGCAGCACCAACAGCTTGGTTATTTCGAACATCTTAAATTGTTACCTTGTAATGACTATGGATTCCAGAGCTCGTTTGTATAGTTATTATGGCAAATCTCCACTAGATGGCAGCAAAGGCCTTTGAATAGGTTCTTGATGGTGTTTGCTCCCAAGTTTTAAAAAGAATCGTTCTTTATCACTTTATTTAGCTACAATGAACGGATCACAGGAAGTTATTATGAGTGTAATAGCAATTTGCTATGATCACCTATATGCATAGTTTCAAAAATGATGTGTATAGCTTTTGTAATTCTATTTCTCATTTTTCTACATATATATATATACACACACATCTTTATTATATTTTTCCCATTACCATTTAGTCCCCTTATATTCTCCTCCCCTCTACTTACAGTATATTTATTAGAGTGTGATTTATGTCTTTTTAACATATGAATAACAAATTGGGGCTTGTATTTTAAAAACCACAATGCTAAAAGTGAAGGAATTAAGTACAGGTAGGTAGTTACAAAACAGTCATAGGGATGTCAAATACAGCACAAATGTCAAATTTATTAAAAAATTAAATTTATTTTTTAGCCCTGGCTCCTATGGTGCACTGGGTTGAGTGCCGGCTTGAGAACCAAAGGGTCACCACTTTAATTCCCAGTCAGGGCCCATGCCTGAGTTGTGGGCCAGGTCCCCAGTAGGGGGCGCGCGAGAGGCAACCACACATTGACGTTTCTCTCCCTCTCTTTCTCCCTCGCTTCCCCTTTCTCTAAAAATAAATAAAATATTTTTTTAAATTATGTTTTAATTTTCAGTTACAGTTAGCACCCAGGATTGTATTGGTTTCAAGTATGTATATTTTTAATTTTAACAAATTCCAGAATCAACTGCCAAGCTGTTATATAACCTTTCCTGATGTCAGAATTTTTTAAAGGCTCAGAAAGAGAAAATAGAAAGACACTCAAGATAAAAATGGGAAAAAAATTCACCTCACTCATTGCCTAGTCTTTAAGGAAATTGGTGGAGTGCCAAAGAAGGAAGGGAGTTTAGGGCTCCTGATCTCAGATACATATCAACTGCAGCCTTGAGGGATAGGTTCTCAAGGTTCTCATTAACTATGCCAAGTTAATTATTACTGATGGCTCCCTCCCCAAAACTATAACAGAAAAAAAAAAGAGTCAATTCAAATGAGTATTCTTTCCTCTTACTTTTTTTTAAAGAAGCCTTAAAAAATAAGATTTTATTTATTTATTTTTAGATGGAGGGGAAGGGAGGGAGAAAGACAAGGAGAGAGACATCAGTGTGTGAGAGATACATCCATCATTTGCCTCTTGCACGCCTTCAACTGGGGACCCGGCCCACAATCAAGGCATGTGCCCTGACTGGGCATTGAACCGGTGACCTTTTGGTTCACGGGCTGGTGCTCAAATCCAGTGAGCCACACTATCCATGGCTCCCCCCAATTTTTAAAATTGTGATAAGGCACACATAAGATAAACTTTACCATCTTAGGCATTTTTTTAAAAGATTTTATTTCCTTAGATTTTTTTAGAGAGGGGAAGGGAGGGAGAAAGAGAAGGAGAGAAACATCAATATGTGGCTGCCTCTCACATGTCCCCCAATGGAGACCTGGCCTGCAACACAGGGATATGCCCTGATTGGGAATCGAACCTGTGACCCTATGGTTTACAGGCCAGCACTCAGTCCACTGAGCTACACCAGCCAGGGCCTTTGCCCAATTTTTAACTGGGTTAATAGGTTTTTGGTGGTGGTAAGTGTTGGAATTCTTTACATATCCTGGGTATCAACCCCTTACCAGGCATTTGCAAATATTGTTTCCCATTCTTAGGTTGCCTTACACACTGTGAATTATGTCCCTTTGATGCAAACATGTGATTTTAAAATATATGTTTTGTATAATATTATCTAGTATAATTAAGATACAGTCCGGTGCACATATTCTTAGCTTATGAATTACATGTTTCAAGTTCTGACAGACCCGTGAAACCATAATCAAAACCAAGATAACAATTTCTACAGCCTCAGAAGTTTCCGGGGCAGTCAGTGTGGTGGACTCCTCCCCCCTGCCCAGGTGAGCACTGGTCTGCTTTGCATCATTACAGGTTAGTTGCCATTTTTTACAATTTTAACTGACACCATCAGCATGTACTCCTTGAGTGTGCTTGCTTTCACCGAGAAATCTGACTTGGTGATTCACCCCTACTATCCTCATTTCATGAATTCTTTCTTCCCCTTGTTGAGTATTATTCCCTCATGTAGACTTAACATTGTTTCTCTATTTGTTAATGGACATTGGAGTTGCAAAATGTGACCTTTTATTATACACAAAATTCTCCTGAGGACCTGGGTGAGTTTTTATTCTCTCTGTTTGCTTCTGCAGGTCTGTTTATTCAGGTCACTGTGCTCCAGTAACATGCTCTTTCTATTGCTGCATTTCAATAGGTATTTTTCTCATTATTGTCTTCTTTTTATTTTTGTTTGTGGGCGTGCACTTTCTCTTCTCTGTGAACTTTAGAAACTACTTAATAAGTTGCATCAACTATCCAACTGAAATATGTCTTTCACTGCATCTTCTTTGCAGCCGGACTCCCAGACACTGGCATCGTACCCATACATCCTGAGCTTCGTGAGTATTTGCTGAAGGGGGTGAATGGCTAACACCACGGGACGTAAGAAAGATGACGAAGGTACGTCCTCACTGAGGACTGGCCTTTACCTACCAGTCTGAAAAAAATGTCCATAACAATCTGATGACTGAAAAAAAAAAAAAAAACCCAGGTTACTTAACTACAGAGACCACGTGGTTCACTTGCCTTGTTGGCACAGGTGCTTGCAGGTGCGTGCAGATATGCAGGTGCGCGTGCAGGTGCATGCATGCACGTGTGTAAAAGGGCTACAGCACACCGTGAAGAGGGTTACTGTGAAGAATAAAGGGGAAAACGTGCAGGGATACTGGTGCTTTCTCTGCGTTTTGAACGCTGCCATCTCTGGAAACTGCAGATACTTCCGTTTCAGTTAGAGAGCTTTTTGGCGACAGAGGGGTATCTCCTCTGGAGTGCAAGATGTCAACAGTGAACCCGAGGACCTGGGGTGGGAATAGGGGGAGAAATGAGCAACCTGACATCGGGAATGGCTTGCACGTCACCCCCAGAGAATCAGGACCCCTCCGGGAGCCCCCGTCATCAGGCGCAGGGAAAAAAAAAAAAACAACAGTAGCAGCAGACGCAGGTGGGCCCCTTTTCCGCACTGCCCCTGGGACTCCTCTCTTGCAATTTCAAAGTTTTAATTTCCTCTAATGGGTTCAAATTAATTTATTCCCAAACCTCTCACGACTGTGGCCTCCACCTGTTTTTCCCCTCGGCCAGCTCCAGGTGGGGCGAGCAATCATCCTCACTCTTTACGCAGCCTGCCAAGAAAGAGCAAGAACCCAGCGTCGCGGGACCAGTGTCC